GTACGCCATTTTTTGAGCGTATATCGCTTTATAAATGAGGCCCCTGGAAGGGAGGTCATGGCCAAAAGGTAATCATTTCAATAAAATACATTTAGGTTTTTACAACTGAAGGTTAAAGACCGGCTCTTTCCACCCTTAAGGTCAATGTAACCTCATCTATCTCTGTGAGGGAGTCTTTTGGAAGTATATTGCTTCCAATGTTTGCACTATGCTTGTTTAACCAACACATCCTCACTCCCAGGTCGGCCTATGTTAACGTTATGTCAAGTCCCCTGTCGGCTTTTTCCATCGCAAGGGGGGGGGCCTTAGCGTCCATTTTCAACGCAAGGGGGGGCCCTTAGCGTCCATTTTCAGCTTTCCGGGATGTCCATATGCTTCTATGGACGCTCATGGAAGCACGGCATTCGTTTGTGTCGGCTGCCCTTAAAGGCAATGTGAGCGTCCATTCTCATTGGATAACGGAGAATCGTACACCCGGAAGTAAGTATTCCCCTTACTGTCGATTGATTTTACAGTGATATCTGCACTACTCATCGACTAAAAAACACCAGATTATCCTTGTTAATTACACAACATTGATTGGTTTAAATTATGTGCAATGCTTTTGTATTTTTCCCCTTCGATTCGGAGAAACAAATGTTTTTTCGGAGTAAAGGATGGCAGAAGACACTACACTACCCAGAATCCCCAGCTATCGTTTGGACTACACCATGTGCTCTGCTTGACAAACCCCGTGATAGTCCTCAAGCTCTGTGATTGGAGAGTGTGCTCCGAGGGTTACGCCGATTCTCGAACAGCACTTGAAATGGGATGGAATCACGGCAGACTGTCCAAAACTGGATTTGAACGGGTCCACCGCGTCCCCCCCTCCCCCACCCCGTCCCCAGAACTACACATGCTGGCTATTCTGTTTCGCAACATGTTCTGTATCTATGGCACGTCTCTACTGGGAGTTGTAGTTTTAAAAGACGTTTTCGTATTTCCCATAATAAGAAGTTGCCAGTATTAAACTGTGTACATCCCTGGAGGTTTAGGGGATAGGAAACACTCACATTTAAAACATATAATTAATAAATGGGTGAAAATTGCTTGTGCCCATAATGGGCAGCATTAATATATATATATATAGGCCTACACACATGCCAGCTAAGGTCAGAAGAGCTTTATTTAACAGCTGGTCTTATGTTTGTGACCCCTGTTGTTAATTGATAACATTACATTACATTACATTAATTGATAAGCCTGAAACATGCACTTGTTAAGGTTCAGAGGCACATTTTGCAAATATGGCAGTAGCCATCGATCAGCTTAAGATAAGAAATACTTTATTGATCTCAAGTTGGAACATTTGCGTTACATCAGCATGTGTAACAGTTAAATATGCAGTGGTGTTTATTTGTAAATCATTTAGTATAATCACACAAATTCTGTGTTTTATATTCAACAATTCTGTGTTCTTTATTTATTGATTGTTCAATACCTGACAAGGTCGGAGATGAAATATCTACATACATCTTATAAGAGTATAATACATTATGTATAATATCAGTTAAAATAAGTGCTTCAACATAGTTAACATTGCTGGAGGTATGCACAAATATTGATAGATGTCTTGTAATGCACTATTGAGGAACCTGCGACCCAAGTTTTTCATTCAATGCATAACTACACCATAGTTGTATAGGCCTATATGATATGTCAATAAACCTTAGGAAATCTTGAAATCTTGAAAGGGATGTGCAAAATAGTCATTATATACAGTCTTTAATTAACTATTAGTAGAGAATAACGAGTAATGAATATACTTTATAGGGATCCTATTAATATCTAATAATAAAAATAATGAAATTCAATAACATGCTTTAACCACTAGGTGTCCCTTTATATAGGCTGTATTTATGGTGTAAATACAGCCTATCTACCAATTGGATCAAATATAAAAGTCAGCCGAATTTGTGTTGATACTGCAAGGAGACGTATTGTGTGAAAAGAAATGTAAGATGTTGTTTAATGGCTGATATATTTATGATCCACGTCACGTTTTCAGTTCCTCATGTTTGTCTAGAAGTCTTCTCATCAGGGCTCTATAAATACAGAACTACGGCAGATATGTAATATTTAATGCTGCCGAACCGTGTATTACAATGCCGTTATGTGATGACTTCCAAAGAGAAAAGCAAGCACACTCGGAATAAAGTATTATTGTATTTTTTTTTAAATGTTTTCGGTCTGTTTCCGTTATTTGTTAATGACGATGTGCTGTGAGATGTGAGACTGGAATTGCACAGGGGAAAATAACGAAGGTTATCTTTAGATGCGGATTTTGTTAAACTAATATGTTTGCGCTGTGGACCAACACTATACATTGACGGGGAAGGGGGTAGCAATAAAGATAACACCATTAAACAGTTACACAACATAACAGAAATAATATCGATAGCAGCGTCCCTAGCAACCACCTTGGTAACAATGAAAACGTTATGGACGCAATTTCCTGAAGTAATCTTCGTAATAACTAGCAAACTAAAGATCATGTACATCCACTGCACACATAATCTGAAATAACAACTCATATTTCTCGCATCAAATTACATCAAAACGCATTTTAATGGCCAAACTAACTTTAAAATAGGCATTTTCCATCGAGAATAAAACGAAGTTCGGCCATGTTTTTTTTTTCTGCAGGGAGAAATTTGAAGATCACGTGACGTCAAGATATCACTGTAAAATCAATCGACAGTAAGGGGAATACTTACTTCCGGGTGTACAATTCTCCGTTATCCAATGAGAATGGACGCTCACATTACCTTTAAGGGCAGCCGACACAAACGAATGCCGTGCTTCCATGAGCGTCCATAGAAGCATATGGACATCCCGGAAAGCTGAAAATGGACGCTAAGGGCCCCCCCCTTGCGTTGAAAATGGACGCTAAGGCCCCCCCCCTTGCGTTGGAAAAAGCCGACAGGGGGACTTGACATAACGTCAACATAGGCCGACCTGGGAGTGAGGATGTGTTGGTTTAACAGGGGAATTCAATTGTTGTTGAGGGAAAAGCCGGACAATCTACCGACACATGTTGCCTTTAAAGTACCAAAACAAACACACATTTACACACAGATAACTTCATAAATCTCTGCTTAAACATCTGACTTCAGATCCTGACTTCGCATGGTAGGATCCTTTTCCACCAACTTCTGGCATATAGACATTCAAGAAGTCCTGGTTTTCTGAAAGAGATGTGATAGTCTGGGAAAGAGTTAGTGCGCTGTGGGCGACACTTCTGTCTGTTTCCATGCTGTAACCTCTTCCCTTCCTCGTCCCACTCTTCCTGTTGTGCAGATGAAAAGAAAAAGGGCAATGATTAAAGAGAAATACTGTACATATGAAGGCTGTCTAAATACAGTTTCATGAAACCATGACTGTGTTATAAGTAAGAGGAAAAGAGGAGTGAGGACTTGCCAAAAAGCTGTCAATCCATGAAGCTCCAGGTACTTGCTGCTCTGGGAACAGACACACAAACACACTCATAGTGGGAATAGATGCATGATTTATACAGTATAAACTGTCGCCATTTCGAGAGGCTCAGCCCCCACGAGAGGCACTATTTATCCAGTGTAATAAATTGGATTAATTATATTTGCCTTAAAATGTTCTCACTCTCAAGCTTCGTTTCCACATGTTGAGGAGGCAACTCTGACTCACATCTTACCAAAGGTGTAGAAAACACATTATTTGTCGTCTGAGCAATCATGTGACACCTGAGCTATATGGTGCCCAATGCTAAGTTTGTGTTCTACTAATTCTAAATGTATTTTCACAATTTTTCATATTTTCATGTTTTTATATATTTGTACCATTAAGAGAAGCCAGTTTGTTCAAGAAAGACAGCCTTAGGTGTGAAGGAAACTTAGACTGCCTGCCAGAGCTGTGCAGTGGACCAGAACCACTGAGCCATTTATAATCAACCAGTTTGGCTTTTCGTAGGTGAACAAACTCTCAAATGTCTCTTCAATTATATCCTAATAAAAACGTTCACACTAAGCTTCCTCATATGACTTCAATGGCCCTCCTTTAACATTTACTCATATTGAAATGTAGTATGTCATATTCATCATCTTGAATAGGGTGCTAAACTGTTAACCGTGTGGCTGCCTGTCTATAGAAGGTTCCATAAGGTTACCCATAATATCATTAGGGATGTAGGGATTCGGCTCATCCATCACCCAACTTTTTCAAAACCTAATGATGTATGGGAATGTTGTCTCCACTTAATTCTAAATCAAAATGCTAATCAAAAATCTATTTTATTTCTAAAGTCCAAATCACCAATTTGCTTCACAGGGCTTCATAGGCCTAACTCTTGTTACATGCTGATTTCAGAGACCGATTTTTTGTTTGGATGTTGGTACATTAGTTGACAACAATTTGAATAAATAACCAAAAGCTAGGGATTATAATAATAATACGAAATATTAAGGATCAGCTTTTTCTTTGTTTGCGCTCCATCAGGGGCTAACAGTAAAAAGGATACTCATGTTCATAGTACATTGGATTGTATGCTGCTGTTTAGATATTATAATGCATTTCTTTGGCTTGTTACCTGTACTCTGTCCAATGAAATAAAGATGAATTGAAAGTAATGGCTAACATTTGTTTATGTTTTTTTCAGTGAAATCTATGACCGCTTCACTTTTCTGGATAGTAGGCCCCTAGACCTATAATGCAGCAATAGATACAATAAAGGGACTGATGCACACATGCATACATGGAACACTGCACTATATCTTCTTTATTTTCAGGGAATTGTATTGTACTCATGCATTAACTCCTAACCAGTACAGTTACTTTTACTAAAATAGCCACCATACTTATTTAAAGAATGCCATTTGTTCAAACCTGTCAGGTTGGATCGAGTTGCAAAGCGCCTGCGGGCTTTCACAGATCTACACAACAGCCGTGTGCCTGCCCAGCTGCTGTAACAGCGATCTCCATCCGCATGTGACCCATCCACAGTCTATACAACTTTAACCAGCCAGAGCAGAGGGGCGTGCACGCACAGAGCTGGTCTTTTCACACCAGCAGGGACACCGAGCACCCACCGAGAGATTCACCATGGCCTCAGCACCTTTTATGTTGTGTTTTATTTATTTTTCGTTACTGTTTACTTCTGTATTTTGCGACGCTGATGCAGAAGAAGATGAGCATGCCAAGCATACATACACAGTGGAGATGTTCAACGAGGCGGTGCCCACTGCACCCCACTTTGTCATGTTTTACGCCCCATGGTAAGTGAACACTTAGTTCTTAAGTTTTCTTCAGACGAAGTCAAATACATTCTTTGGCAATGCACTTTGTATTTTCTTTTTTTAATTAGATACACTCACCTGAAATACGTTGGGAGGGTTTGAATAATGGGATTAGAGCTAACCGGCAAGTTAGCCGGTATGCTAGTTTGCTACCTTCCCGTTCATTTGGATAGCAGGAGAGGTTAGCTTATCTGCTAACTAGCCAAACCGTTAGCCGCTACTGTACTTTTCACAGTGGCCTCGGTGCTAAGACTGCTGTTATATCACAGTCCACGACATATTTATTAAAATCGGTTTAGTGAATGTTGAAAGGGAGACTCACAACATAGTTAAACACTCTTTGTGGCGCTATGCTTATTTGCAGTTTGTGCAGAAAGCAGGTCATAGTTTTTGGAACTCTGCTGCTTACGTGGCACACACTGATTGACTGATGCTATGTCGGCGGTTCCGAAAATGGGGTCCACGGACCCTCAGAGGTACTTGGTGAGGTCTAAGGAAGGGGACGCTACATTAAAAGAGCGGTTAAAACATCGATCAATTTACTGTAGTGTGAAGTAGAATAACTCGAAGGGGAGAGAGTAAGATGTGTCTGAAGATAAGATCAAAAGTGTTGTCAAAGGATGACTGCAAAAGTTTCAAATATCTTCCCTTGGTATTTCTTCCAGGCCCAAACCTTTGTCCTAACCCAGAGTATTCCTGCTGCATGCAAAGTCTCTGGCTTCTCTGAGATTGACCCAAATAGCTCACTATTACCAACAGGTTTCAAACTCTAATTTCTGACTTTGTCACTGACTTTACTTTTATTTTTCATTGACAAGGATGCACATTTATTGTGTCTGTTTTCATCAGAGGACAGTTTGCACAATAACAGGATACTTGTATTCATTTATTTTTTAAATGTTGCATTAAACAAAAGATCTTCAGTGCAAGAAATACACATGTCATAACTAGAAAGTAAGAGTTCCTTTTATAATTATTCTAACAGTAGTAGCCTACCATCATGGTATTTATAAGAATGCATTTTCTACACCATCATCTCTTTCTCATAGGCCCTAATGTAGCAAAGTTAGATACAATGTGGGCACATGTGGATTTTGACTTGAATCACAGATTAGTTTGGACAAAACATGTTTTAGACCAGACCAACATACATTACATTGCACACTGACTGAATTGCACTGTTGTTTCTAGGTGCGGGCATTGCCAGAGGTTGCAGCCAGCATGGAATGAACTGGGGGACAAATACAACAGCATGGAGGACCCCCCTGTGTATGTGGTGAAAGTAGACTGCGTCCCGGACACCAAGTTCTGCTCAAATGTCCACGGGGTCAGGGGCTACCCCACGTAAGTACTTGATTCATATTTTCATATTCATTATGTAGCATTGATTTGTACCTGCCTGCTTACAACAAAGTTGTAAACGGTTTTCATCACTGATTGACAGAGAGGTGATACATCAGCCTATATTTAGTTAAATATTCTGCCAGTATCTTAATGACATCCTCTTAAATCTTGAAGGCTGCTGACTTCATGCTACACCTGCTAACACAGCAATCCCTGGATAATGAGTGACAGAAGTTTTAGTACACTATCTTGTTAAGCTGTATAATTGAATTGTCAGGCCACAATTCATGCATTAAAAATACATTTGTTTTACGCTTAGGCTGAAGTTGTTCAGGCCAGACCAGGAGGCAGTGAAGTACCAGGGGTCCAGAGATCTAGAGTCTCTGGAGACCTGGATGCTGAAGACACTCCAGGAGGAGCCTTCGGTGAGTTGTGGTCATTCAGTTAGCACCTCAGGTTTATAAACCATTCACCCACAGTTGTGTTCATACATGCTTCTTGTTGTGTGTCCTCCAGGAACCAGAGAGTGAACCAGAGCCTCCTAAAATCCCCGAGCCCAAACAGGGCCTGTACGACCTGACTGTTCTCAACTTCAAGGCACACATAGCCAAAGGTAAAGATCCAGAGTAGAAGATATGCTGATTATAACACTTCAAAAAGAATGCTGCTCTACCACTTAACCTAGGTAATGAGTAGTTGGCATATTCTTGTGTATTTCTGCAGCTGCACCCAGTCTACAACCGATAACTTGTTTGGCCCTGTATTTAAAACACACTTTCAGTTCTCTTCTCAGCCACAGTCAGTAGTGTTTCGGACCCCTCCTTAGAGAATGGAAACATTGCCTTGATTGACATAACTGACATTTCAACACGAGCACCAGAGCCACAATCCACAACGTCGGTCAACCCGAACTGACTGTACAACACTTGTCTCCTGTCACCTCACGCTTCTAGATTTTTCTGAAATCGCCTGCAAAAATAAACAGTGCTTACGATAATTGTCTCGTTAGAATTGTGGCTTTTAAGCTCGGCTGAAGTCAACTGTTTTGGTTTTGAGGAAAAATAAATTCTCTAAAAAAGGCAGGATATGACATATGTATTTTTAAACAGTGTTTATAGGCCCCACCTTCACATCTTGGCAACAGAGCTCCAATAAACATTGTATAATAGGTGGCGTATAAACTCTGTATAAGACGTGTATATTTTCATTATGGGTTGAGTTTGTTGTGGAATCAACTTTTTACATTGCTTCATTAAATCAAAGTCTAAACGCATAGACTTCAGTAAAGTACATAATTGTGCAGTTGTCTTTAATATGTCCGTTATTTCTTTTTGTATTTGTGTTGCATTTCTTATTGGTTTCCTTCTCTAAAATATTTGTTCTCTTTCTTTAGGTGCCCATTTTATTAAGTTCTTTGCCCCATGGTGCGGTCACTGCAAAGCCATAGCCCCCACCTGGGAGCAGCTGGCCACCTCCTTCGAGCACTCTGAAGACGTCAAGATAGGAAAGGTGGGTCCTTCAGATTGTGTACATGATCACAGTTTATTGATCCAAGTACTCGTAAAAAAAACAACTACAACAATAAAACTCAACAGATTGTGACACGAGTAAAAACAGGGCAGCCATGAAGCACACCAGGTTTCTCTTTGAGGTCTTTCCACTACAAACGCAGTCATCCTGTTTGACAGAACAGGATGCTGGTCACATGAGAAGCTGCCTATTTGCATACTTCTTTATTAGACACACCTAAGCAAATTTGCAGAGTCAGTGTTTGCATTTATGTTTCACTCTAGTTTAATAACCCATCTTCATATGTTTGCTCTAGGTGGACTGCACTCAGCAGTACGAGGCGTGCTCTGACCACGGCGTGCGGGGATATCCCACACTGCTCTTCTTCTACAACGGACAGAAGGTAAGAAAGGTGTTTTTGATCTGCATCTGACCTGATAAACCTGACATGTTAATCACAACAGCCATCATTACATTGGCCATTATAGATCTGAGTTAAAGGTGGGGTAGATAAGTTTGAGAAACCGGCTCGAGATACACTTTTTGTTATACTCCATGGAATGCTCTTAACATCCCTGATAGCAATGAATATCTGAAGTGCTTTGACAAAAAATCCATAAAATCTGTGGAAGCCGTAGCACTGTAAAAAGCACGACCAATCATTTTAGCCGGCCCGGCTAAAGTAACTGGATGGCCTACCTGCCTGTTAGCCTTCCATCTGTGCACAAACTTATCTCGTGCCCTCATTGGTCATGTGCGCGTTCGTGTGTGTTGGAGGAGGGGCTCTGTAAGGAAGTGGCAGATTTTTTCCGGTTGTGTATTTTCAAATTCTAGCGCACTCGAGCTGGTTTCTCCAAAATTACCTACCCCACCTTTAAACAATGATTAATAGTCATCAATCAACCGTCCAAAATAAACTGTCTTGCTGTGAAAAAAAAGTAGTTCACTATAATAAGAAATGATCCAATAAGCCTAAGTAAATATGGCAAAATCTATACGGTATTAATTCTAGCCTGAATGTGTTCTTGTAGGTAGATCAGTTCAAAGGAAAAAGAGACCTGGACTCCTTCAAAGACTTTGTGGACAACCAACTGAAGGCTGTCGTCGCTCAGGAGCAAGAAAAGGAGCAAGGCAGTGAGCAAGAAAAGGAGCAAGGCAGTGAGAAAGAAAAGGAGCAAGGCAGTGAGGAAGAAAAAGCAAACGAGATCCCCACTGAGGAGCCAGCCCAGGAGGAGGTGAAGGTGGGTGTGAACGACACAAAGAAGAAATGCCACACACAAGAAATATATGCCTCGGTGCCAACTGTCACTACATAACTGTCTAAACTTATTTAAAAACTCTTCTTCATTTGCTCTAAGGTAGTAAAGTTATTCTGCCTGTTTCTCTCCTCTGTAGTCCAGTGTGTTGGACCTCACAGAGAGCACCTTTGAAGAGTCAGTCGCCAAAGGACTCACCTTCATTAAATTCTATGCTCCATGGTAAGATCCTCTTTTTATTTATTTTAACATCCTGTTTGTAGTAGCACTCGCATTTCAGTCAAACACTGCCTCTACATTGTTCTGGCCAAGGATCAGACAGTATGGTATGCCATTAAACATGTCATGATATCGTAGGTCATACTAAGTATAAATATCAGAAAGAAAAGTCCTAGTCATGGAAATGTTAATCTTGTCCAGCGCCTACTCCCAGTCTCAGTCCCTTTGAGTGATGTCATCCCTGTTGTCCTGTGTCTGCTGTAGGTGTGGCCACTGCAAGAACCTGGTTCCAACATGGGAGGATCTTTCCAAGAAGGAGTTTCCCGGCCTCACTGACGTCAAGATAGCCAAAGTGGACTGCACTATTGAGCGCACAATCTGCAACAAGTACTCTGTAAGTATATGGGCGTCTTCCACAAATTACACTGAAGATTCCATCTACACTAAACACGCAGCACTCTTTACTTCACGTACCTTTCAATCAGCTTTTTAATTTCCTCGAGATAATGTGTTGTATAAGATGTAATAAAGCAAACAGAGGTTTTATCACAGAGCCATAAAACACTTATAACTGCCACATACTTTAATTAGATGCACACTGTAATCCTAAAGCAGTTTTAACACAGTCAGGTGATAAAGAGTGTTGACACACATCACTCTGTATCAGCTTGATCACTAAGATAATTAGCATTGTGTACAATATAAGTTGTTCACCCTGCAGAATTGCTGCGTCAGGGTTCAACAGATCAGTTATCTTTAGATAGAATGTGCCCTTTATGTTGTGTTTTTATATCCAAGATATGTTTGCATACCAAACATCCCTAAATATCTGATTGGTTTTTATATCGCCCCAGTAATTCACTTTAGAGATTAGATACCTTTCATCAAACAATGTTTTTTTGTCCATCAGTCAGCAAAATATCTCAAAATCATGACTCTCCGCCCCAGAGAGTATTCTGAAGGGAAGTTATCCTCAACTGTGTAACTAACAGATATAAATGACATATTTCTGCGCTTCATAGAAATGTGGTGTTTTTTGAAGGATGACAAAGCTCATAGAATAATCCTGTTTTTCAGGTTCAGGGTTACCCCTCTTTGATCATGTTCAAGGCGGGGGAGCAGGGAGAAGAGCATAACGGTGGGCGGGACCTGGAGAGCCTGCACAGCTTCGTGATGCGGCAGGCGAGAGACGAGCTGTAGGAACAGTGAAGACTCTCACCACTCTGCATATCTGGCCAGTAGGACTCCACTCTCTCTCCTACAGTAGCCCAACCTCTCTATCTTTCTCTCCACTCGGTTCTCTTCAGACAGGAGTCGGCCAACGACGGACTGCAGTCTGTTCTTTCTCCAGTGTTAAAGACAGAATGATTCAGTGGAGTGTTTGGGACGTGAATGTATGCCTCATTGCTGTGACCCAACTTTAATCTCCTCATATGGAGAGTACCATAATATTTGTTGGGTTTGCAAATGAAGTATTTCGGACAACCACTTTGCAAGCACTGCTCCATCAATCAGAACCAATATTCACACAGATACATGTCTTAATGAAATGGTTTCACAACAGGACAGATGTCCAAGTTTCTGCTGTTTAAAAGTAATTGTTTCTGATGAACCTCTAAAGCCATTGGACTTTTTGCAAATGCTAAATGTTATAAATGGGATCTGTTGTAAAATCACAATTATGGTACTGTCACCTAAATGTGAAGTTAAGTGTTGAATTGAGGGTTTTTATTTTCAAGCCAGTGATGGCCTATCTGACTTAACTCTCAGGGAACCTCCCCCCAGCTTCCCTCTCTCCTCTCCTTCAGGGTCTCAGGCCTGGACCACGTTGACCCAGGTTATGTGAAGAGTATCGGGCATCTTTTATTGTCTAACCCAGGTATAAACAGTCAAACACAGCAGTTCTTTTGTCAGTAAAAGTTTTTATGGATAGCACATGGTCTAAGGAACTCCAGTGACAGAAGTATTTTTTTCCTTGCGAGTCATGGGTGCACTACCCATGGATTTTGTACAAAAAGAGTGAATAATGGCAAGTTGTAACATGAGATTTCATAATAAAAAAAGATTAAAAAATACACTTTTTGTTCTTGCATCGGTCTGTTAATAAGGTATGTGATTTTTTTCTTTTTAATAAAAGGTGCAATAAATAAGCTGAGAATGTACAAGTATTTACAAACAGTCTAAACATGATCACAAATGTAAACAGCAGCTTACCAGAGGTATATTTTGTAATTAATGATTGGTTAGGCACGTAAGGTATTTAAAATCTTATTAGTTTTTCATAAAAATATGTTCTCTAAAAAAGCTCCATGTCATTCAAAGCTCACAGTAACATGTTCAATTGGAAAGATGTTGCCACTGGACACAAAACTCAACATCATCATTTGACCCTCAGGGTTGAAAAAGCAACGGGCTAATTTCAGAAAGCTGGCACAGGCGCCGTTCTGCTCGCTGTTTTTGACTCCATAAATGTTTTTCCACAATCTCTTGATGGGTTGTCAGGGGTGGAAGCGTTAGTTAACTTTGAGAGTGCAGCAACATGGAAATGGCAAATTGCGGCATGTCCAGGGGATAAGGCCGTATTCTTCGGTTCTTTGGAGAAAAACATCAGTTTAGCCACAACATGCATCATGTCGGAGCAGCGTGGTGAATCGCAGCTCAGCGTGAGCCCGGCAAATATTGACACGGAGGGGTTATTTGGAGCAGCGGAGTTCTAAAATAGCCTGCGGTCACTTTGGTTCAGTCCATATTATATTTTTGGAGGGCAAATATGGCTTACGGAGAAAAGTACATTTAGGAAAAAAGGAAATATGAATCTGACTCCAAAGTGTCATTCATTTAGTATTAAGTTAACATTAGCGCTGTAAAGGAAATGTTCAGTCACTTGACCATGCAATGTCACTGACTACTGTTGGCTTTCAGAGCTGTGATAACACCGAGTCGTCTCCCCAGGGTCATGCTGAGAAGTTTTTCATGAGTCATTTATGGAGCCTCTCAGAGAACTGATCCATGGTTCCGTTGTCGGAGAGGGGAAAGAAAGCAGCACTCGGACCGGTCCCACAACAGTTCAGTTTAGCCCTCTCCCTCTCACTGAGGGAGAAGGTGCAGTAGCCTCCTAGGCGTTCACACACACACTTCCATAAACACATAATATACAAACTACATCCTCCACAAACACACAGACATTCACTCAGTTGCAGACCCATGAAGTGAAGACTCCATAGAGAGTAGAGAAGGTCATTGACATCGGGGTGACACTGGAGGGGGAAGTTGCCTCAGGGTGACACCCATAATGGTCCCCTCTTAGTTTATAGACAAATGTTCCTGTTATTAGATGGATGATTTGAGTAGAACATGTAAAAGATCTTTCAGGGTGTAGCCTCCCTGCAGGTGGAGGATTCGGGCAGGAAGCTGGTGTCTAGTTGAGGTCAGCATCACCCAGGAGTCACTGGTGAAGCTGCAGCCCTCTGCCAACCCGACTTTGAATCGAGCATCATGAGCCCTGGAGGCCGGTGTCAGTGGCAGCCGCAGGCCCGCACCACCATGTTCTTATATTTCTTCAGAATCACGTTTGAGTTGTCGTCGAAGTAGAGCACTGAGATGGCGTGTAGCTTGGTGGGGGCGCAGCAGGGCTTTGGTACGTTCTCTGGATTCATCAGGTGCACCTAGAAATCAAAGATATACTTTAAGCCATTTTAATCTGCAATAGCCAGAAAGTCACTTTTAGTTTTATGTGATTGATTAATGGTCCTTCATTTTTCATTTGAGTAGCTGCGTAAAACTAATTATTCTGATGATGTCAGCTGTGGCACAACATATTATTTTGTTAAAGATAGCATTAGTAATTAATCACAACACTTTCATTAAGATAAGGAACTAATAAGACACAGCTTCTTCTTTCTTTTTTTGTATGCAGCAGCAGAAGCCTGGATTTGTGAGCATGGTGCACTGTAGTGGGTTTACCAGGGTCTGAACGATGGCGTGGTTGGTGGCGTTCATGTGGGCGTTGAGGGGGAAGGAGCATTCTCCATCACAGTAGTTTGCTGCGTAGCCTTCAGGGGCGATGATCCAGTCCTGAGAGAAACACATGTAAGGAATGAAGGAAAATAAACATCCTAATTATAATATTGTCAGATCTGTTAATGAGGTCAGACACTTTGTTGGAAAGTTGTCTTATGTTTGCATCATTGTAAACAACTGAATGATCCGTTAATGAGAACAGGTAGTTATATCTTAAAGAGTATACTTGACACGAGTTGGTAAATGCAGTGTTAATCTGGAGTTGAGGACGCTGCTGCTCCTGTTTGTGATTCCTGTCTGTGGAATCGCTCAGGGAAGCAATACTTCTCCCCTCCTTCCTTCCTTCCTCTCTGCAACTCACTGTTTTGCTCCGTCAAATTCTCTGCATGTCTTACCTCCATTTAACTTGTTTTTGTGTTTTTATCTAGTGTACCTTCCTGTCTGTGTTAATAATCTCTCTACGTCTATCTCTGCTCTGTCTGTCCAGCTCCCTTTCCTGTGTGTGTGTGTGTGTGTGTGTGTGTGTGTGTGTGTGTGTGTGTGTGTGTGTGTGTGTGTGTGTGTGTGTGTGTGAGTGTTGGCAGTCTCCCTCTAGATGTCAGTACTGTGTTAGAAGGATATACGTAACTGGCCTTCTATTTTCTTCCTCAGTCTGTCTCCTTATAAAACACACACACACACACACACACACACACACACACACACACACACACACACACACACACACACACACACACACACACACACACACACACACACACACACACACACACACACACACACACACACACACACACACACACACACACACACCTCTGCCTTGTAATAAGGATTATTTTTTTTGCCTAAGTGTCATCAACATAGTGAAGTGTAGCGAAGTTAGGCAAGTGCTGAATGTTTACTAGACAAGTATTAGGACATGTAATAATGTTTTAAATAAGAAAAGTGTTGTTACCTGCCAGCCGAGCTCTCTGAAGCTGACGTAGAGCTCATGTCTTCTGCATGCCGTCTTCTGGTCGCTGCTGTTGTAATCTGCAACAGAAATCATCAGGAATATTGTAATTTCCCAAAACGTCTCACTGCATGACTGATGAGATGGTAAAACACACTCAGCTGACACCCTTCCCTGGGTAAATGATACCCAATTAAACCATACCAAAGTGACTCATGGCATTCAGAATGAGAGCAAAAGGACAACACCGTGCGCCTCATGTAATGCTCAGGGTGGAGACCGGAGCTCAGGCTCATTACAGCGGTCTCTGCGCTGTACGTGCCTCACATTCAGCCACTCTTAAATCGGTCTGGACGCATGCCTAATTGAATTCATCAGCATTCAAATATTGCTTGGCTCGAGCACAAGTGGTGACCGAGTGACAACTGTGTTTACGGGCCCTCCTGCCCTGCCGTTCGTTCTCAATTATCTCTGTTCTATTCTGCAGACAGTCCCAGGTATAGGTTGGGTTTTCACAGGGAGGTCATTGCTGGCACCGGTCACCACGCTGAAGTCCAGACGGTGACACTGACTTTCCACTGACGCTCACTCTCTCTGTCCCGCCTCACTGATTTAATTGTTGTGATTATTTTTTCTTCAAAAACCTCCCAGACAAAGACACGGGGAAATGCTATAGCCCTGGTATGAGTGCTGTATTCTCAAAAGAGCTAACATATGACCCCTGTGGTGTTGTTCCATAACAACCATCCTATGACATACTAAGTTTGGCTTTTTAGTGTCCCCACGATGCCTTAAGCAACACTTCAGCCTTAAGCCTGTAAGTGATTTAAATTGTAGTTGGTTGCACATTCTTTCATTGCGAGGTTAGATATAAAACTGTTAAGCAACTAAAACCTTATAGTAGTTGCCTATTTTTGTTGGGTTTTTTGTGTCACTTGTTATTAAGGTTACCATACTGGTTTGTGATCCCCAGGCTGCGGTCAAATTGTCTATTTTGCTTAGGAAGGAAATGTACCGGAAGTTTCTAAGTGGCATAATAAGAACTAGTCGAATACGGTTGACTGTCAGGAGAGGCGCTTCAATGCTTAGGGAACACCTGACCATCCTTTACTAAATGAAAGAGATAATACTGTCCCTCAATTCCTTGTGGCAGCTACATTTAAACAAAGCACTCTACAAATGTCATGTCAAATATTTTCCTGAATCATAAAGGGTTCTCCTTCACATCTTTCCCTGACCTCATGTCATTTTCCACCAAGGTCAAGGAAGAGCGGTTAGGAAAGGAAATGGGACGTATTTCTTTGACCATTCAACCGCATGTTTAGCCTAGTCCGGTTAACCCTTTGGATATTAAAGCTACAATCCACACTGCAAGGAAAAAAAACAATTTACAGCTTTGAGTCAATGTGTCAGAGGAACGAGCGAGTGAGTCAGACTGCAGACGGAGGTTTGTCACTCAGTCACAGCCACTCACCTCACCAGCTCACCTACAGCAGCCTTGTTTAGTCAGCTGCACTTGCGTGCGTACGTGTACATGCGCGCACACACACACACACACACACACACACACACACACACACACACACACACACACACACACACACACACACACACACACACACACACACACACACCACACACACACACACACACACACACACACACACACACACACACACACACACACACACCACACACACACACACACACACACACACACACACACACACACACACACACACACACACACACACACACACACACACACACACACACACACACACACACACACACACACACACACACACACACACACACACACACACACACACCCTGATGTGTATCTGTTTAACAGCCAAATCCACTTTGCCCAAGAGTTGTAATTGAAATTAACCAGAGCTAGTTGCATAAAGATTTCATCATCAAATCAAATGTCATGTTGAACAGACGCACTGACCGCCCTGTCCAGACAGAGTGTTTGAGCTGGATTTGTCTCAAGTAAGTAAAAGAGACAGACAGAGGGAGGGAGAGCAAGTTGGATTTGTCACTTGGGTTCAGCTCAGATTGAAGTAAAAGAGAAGAGAGGAGCACTAATGCTGTCTGAGTTCGGGCTTCAGTTTCTACCACCCGCACCCAAAATGTGCATGTGTCGTAGAATACAATAACAATAGTTTATTTTTATGGCAACAGAACATAAATGTGTCATCTGATTAGACGGTTTGATTCTGTAAAAGACAGGAAATGGAAGCTGAGACTGGTCACGACAAACGGCTGCAGAGGGAGGTTAAATGTTCGCCAGTAACCATCAAATACAGTCAGGTGTTTCCCCAGTTTAAGGTTCCTTCCTTTACAATAGGAAGGGAAATTCACTGGGTGTCTGCCAATGTGGAAATACAGAGTTTATATATGTGTGTGTCTGTGTTTGTGCTATGCATTCAGACACGCATGTTTCTGTACTGATGCTACCCATGGATACCGGACCACATGTGCTCGTCCTGCCTCCCTGTGGACGGACTGATCTGCCAGAGTCTCCAACAGCATTCAGATCTCACAGATTTACTGTATGCAGACCTCCACAAATGAGGAAACAGGCTGGCCCTGAACCAGTTGCTGTAGGCTTGCACTGACTTATCCTATAATCTTTTAAATAAAGAAAGAAATCCACTTTTTTCCGTGCATTGTCAGGCATATTTGCCGTGTTTACAGTATGTTTATACAGGAAACATCCAAGGACAGAAAAAGGCGAAAACACATGCGATTGAAAAGACTATTCTGATTGGCTGACCTGATATGAACTTGAGGTGTGTTTATAAAAAGAGGAATGGACACATTACAAAATTAAGATAATAGGAAGACAGGGCTTGCACTTATTCAACGTGTTTATTTATTTATAATGGAATATGGATCGCTGGGGTTTTAATATCTTTGAGCTTGTTATGCTTCACACACACACACACACACACACACACACACACACACACACACACACACACACACACACACACACACACACACACACACACACACACACACACACACACACACACACACACACACACACACACAACACACACACACACACACACACACACACACACACACACACACACACACACACACACACACACACACACACACACACACACACACACACACACACACACACACACCAAGTTTATGGTGCGTGACATTCAGCTTCGGGTCAAATACAACGCAGGGGGAATGAACTGCCTGCTCACTGGTTACATTTGCTTGCTTTTGAATGAATAATGTTTACTAAAATATTGTAATGTTACACGCATTAAAATAATATTTGTATTTGCCATATGTACAGCATAAGGTGTATTATTTAGCCTCATATTTATGTTTCCTCTTATCTCACACCCACAGATACACAACTCATTTTCATTGCACCTCTTGGCCTTCAAAGCCCTCGGCATTAACCGTCTGTGGGCTCTTTAGGAGGAATAAAGCTGATATTTACTGTGGGCTTTCATTGACTGTAGAGGCCCAGATTTGTGGTGCCCATAAACCACATCTCTCCTTCCTGCCTGTAAAACGTAATGCCACACAGCTACTGCTGAGCGCCGGCTCCCAGGAGACTTCCATTCATATATTTTTCCTTCATGGACAGAAAACAGGGGTGGGAAGGAGAACACGCTCTACATATTATGCTTGTAGTTCTTATTTGTATACTACTACTGACAACTATACTACACATTTTGGGAAATATAATAACTAGATACCACTCTACTGTCTCTACTCTATATAAGCTAAAGCTAGCAGGCAGATAGCATAGTGACGTGCATTATTAGGACTTTGAATTTCAACATGAAGCAGGATTTCCTTTACTAACACAGTAATGTGAATGGAGCCAGTGGCACTGAGCCATACTTTCATATTACAGTTTACCTAACAGTTTTTAACCTGGAAATGTTTCTCTGTGAGTAGACAAGCATCCATTTCACCAAGTGACACTAAAACTCTCCAATAAAGCCAATTCACATTGAATTCATTGAGGTGGCCGCAGGGGAAACACTGCTCCTTACTGAACGTAAGCACTGTAGCTCTTTAACACCAAGACTTTCGATATACTGTACTGGCCTGATATTAACCCCTCACCACACTACCTGCCATTCATTAAGCCCTGAAAAACACTTCCCCCAGCCCTTATGTCAGAAGGAAAAGGCTATAAGTTATATTTATCACGTTATTCCAAAAACACAAGAATGAACTGGTGCAGATTCAGGCTTTATAGTCAGAGTGTTTGGTGTAGGAACTGTGTGCCGCTGCGTATGTGTTTTTTTAAAGAGTCATTTCAACCCCAGCGGGCCACAATATATCAAACCGCCTCACTGTGTATAATAAAGTTTGGGAGAAAGATTGCAGCTTTCACAGTATCGATTACATATAGTCCCATAGAGGTGGTGGTGACAGAAAAGTTATATATGCCTGAAGTTTAACATAAAATCTGGATCAGTAACCCAGAAGAAGGAGGGGGAGAGTCCCAAGAGGAGAGAGGCCATGAACAGTGACATGAAAGGAGAATGTCACTGTTGTCGCTGACGTTTCTCCTCTCTTTCCCCTCCCACAAACCACTACCACTGAAGTTTATCTTTCTTCCTGTCTTTCATCACAGAGGTTATTAAACCCTGCGAGGGAGCTCCGCCATGTCTAATTACTCCAACGGTAAACAAAGGAGGTCGGGTGGGGAGGGAGCGAGGAGAATGAGGAGGTGGAGGGAGGAGAGGAGCGACAGATGAAAAAACATTGCTGGCCGAGCGCCGTGTTATTATAATTTTTTAAGCGATACTGTTAGCGTGGTCAGTCTTTTAGCTGCGCGGCTAATGACTGGCTAGGTCTAATTACAGGCCTCCTGTGCTGTGCCGGGACGTGATATTCCTTCCCCGGATGGTTGTTAACTTCCCCCACAGCCAAAGCCCAACCCGACTCCCATTACCTCCCGACCTTCTTCAACCCACAAAACCCCAAATTACCTTTAAAGGTGTTGTATTGTTCTTTTGGCGAGCTACAAATAAGCATTTTCCACATCAGGCACACCCAGAGGGGGCGGAAGCATGTTCTGACAAAACTACTCATCTGTCCAGAATACAAAATGGAACAAAAAACAATACTAAAAAGACCAATTTACTCAATAATTAAGAAACCAAGACGTTGGCTTGCAAGTAGTCTGCTTTTGTGACCAAAATGTAAAAACAAAGATGATTTATTACACGTATTATACAACTATTATCTTAAAACTAATGCTGCAGAAATGTATTTGGCTGAATAAGTCTTATTTTGTCATCTGGAAGACATTTAATATCACATGTCCTTTCAAATCCAGCTTGCTTAGATTGTGAAAATTTGAAAATAACAAGGCCCATGGCCTCACAGGAAGTACAGTAGGGGAAATAAAGATTTCAAGTTAAAAGGTTGTTAACTATCCTTAACAGATTGAAGTAGGCATTTTAGTACTTTATGACAAAGCAAAGTAGCGCGGCCAAATGTTTAAAATCTAAATGAAACTTGACAAAAATAGCTAGATCCACTGCATTGATTTACTGCTCAGTTCAGGAGTGTGCAATTTGGGCAGAGATGGGAAACTTTTTCAAAAGAAACCGTTTTTAAAAAAGCCTCTATGTGAAAGTTGTGCACACTAGAGCAATTAAAAAGAAACACATTGCTGCCTTCCTGCCTTAGATATCGTGTTTTCACAGGAAACAAATATCAGGGTGAATTATGGGTGAAAAACTCCTTTTAGATGGAGCTGTGGTGGCCTGAACTGATGTACTGTAGCGCTGTGTCAAACAGAAACTAGGGGACAACGTCCACATTTTGTTTCTCCCCATGAGCGCTCCACAAGACGGATGCTCTCCCCATCCATCCTGTCCTCCTCCCTGTCTCTGGAGTGAGTGATGCGGTATTGAAACCATATGCCCTCCTGAATTCCTCACGGATCCTCCCATCCCGTCCAATCCCAGCCATCCTCTGCTGGCCACGGCCACTCGGCTGTCGCGAGGGGGGCCTCCCGGCTTCCTGTGTTGGATCTAAATATTTACACTCCCCGTCGTCCCGAGTGGCGAGGCGGGGAGGTCTTGATGTTTTGGGTTATGTAAAGTCCAATCTTCCAGGACGCATATTTAACAGTTTGTCCTTGTTAGAGCAGATTTTCAAGCAGATTCACTCCAGAGAAAGTTTTTTAATCCTGATCTAATCCAGGACACAAAAGCATGCTACTCGCTAAAGAGAAGGTAAATTCGCTTTTTTATTTACTTAAATTTACTTATGACTTTATTTCCATTTAACAAACACGTGCCTTTATATACTTAAAGCGAGCAGAGACGATATTCGTTAGCACAACGCTAATCCACATCATGAGCACATTGTTTGCACCTTAGCCCTCTGATTCACTTTGCAACCCACAATCAGAATCTTCTTTAAGACATCTTGACTTAAAGTCTGAAGACATCTCAAGCCAAAGACAGCTGGGTGGAAGAGAGTACAGGTCCGGGCCAAAACTGAACATGTGGTAGACTCTAGCTGTCCTGTAGCATAACAAATGATGAGTCTTTGTTCTCTGCCAGAGCTTTCATCTAATGCAATTACTGAGCACCAGCCCCACAGGAATTTTACTTGCAACCTGTTGTGTTAACCGCAGCGCACAGTAACCTACTGAGTAAGCGAAGGAGATGCTCTGAACAAACAGGAAGTAGAGCCAAGAAACCTCAGCGAGGGTTTTTCAGAGCGGTAGCGAGAACAAACCCAACTTGTCCCACAAATACTTCTGTACACCACGCAGATGGTAGAGCCATTAAACGGGGCAGCAGAAGAAGCAAAGGTAAATCGCTTCCCCGCCAAGTGGGGCCGTTTGCAGCTGTGTGTCAGAGCACTAAGCTGTGTTTTGGCACAAGAGATCCAAATGTAAGCCGGCTCTGGACTAGATTTAGCCAGTTTATTTCGGGTCGGACTTCAGTCGTTTTGGACTGAAAATCAGTTCCAGTTAGCGACTTATTTTGGGCCAGTCTCAGCCTCTGCAGTCAGATCAAATATATTCTTGCACATCATCTATCACAAGTCTCCCTTGGGACCAACAAGCAGGTGTGCAGATCTTAGGCTGTTCTGGGCCATTTTGGCTACCTGAAGATCAGCAGATACAACAATACTATGTGTACTATGATACCGCATGTAGCATTTACACATCTTTCTGTTTATGGAATCCAGTCTATGGGTTTCTTACATAAATCTAGGTAGACTGATTTAGGTGTAGTACTTAAAATAAAAAGGGGTCTGCACTAAACGTTTTATTTACGGCTGCATTCAAGGGTCTGATATACAGTGGAGTCTAAGCTTTAAGCCACTAAAGCTTAATATTAACATAATGCTTCATCTGTCATATTAGCAAAGGACCAGGCCAATATTAAGAGCAGGCTCCCTGAGCGTTAGCTTTATGTACTGAGCTAGTCACACAAAGACGCCTCACAGGAGCAGCTTAGCTTCAAGCACTGTAAAGTCTGGCCAGAATTACACAGCAGGTGAAAGGTGGGCGGATTAGGGTTTGATTTAATTTGAAAAGCTTGCAGAGTTCATAACATCGGGCTTATACCTGCTCATTACATCATCTGTCGAGTAGGGGAGTACTAATGAGGAAGTTCAGAGGATGAGGTAATCTGTCAAGATGGATTAGCTTCATTCGTCCTAAATTATTGAACTTCTCAAGTCCACTCATTGTGCCCGTGCCATCACGCAGCTGTCCAAAACTCTACTAGTATTTAAATTATTCCACAAAGCAAGTGATCAAAACGTCTTCAGTTCTTATCATACACACATTATTTCTCTTTTTAAACGTTTTCCTCTATACTCTCTCCCTAACACCACCCATGCATCTCATACTCTATTTCTTTGTATTTTTAGATACAATCTCAGCCTGAAGGTGTGCCACAGAAATCCCCTTCATAAGTAAACATTGAATATATTTCTGAAAAACACTATAGTCCTTGCTTAAGATGCAGGTTTTGGGAAAAACTTCACTACCCTCCATCTTAACAGAGAAAGTACAGTAAAAACTGATTTTGGACATCCTTCCCTGGGCTAGGATTTTCATGTGACGGGCTGATTAGAGAGAGATCCGGATGAAGTCACATCCAATTCATCAAGTGTCTCGGAAAGGAATACTTCAAACATATGCTACGCATCTATTCATCTCAACAGGCCGGACATCAGTTACGTATGAGGGCAGTTTGGTGTCTCATTGTGTTCATGGTTGGATTCTTTGATGAGGTCGGTGAAGGTTCAGTGACTGACCTGCTGGGCCCAGTCTGGATCCCTCCTGCGGTTGCGTGGATCGGTTTCGGTTCTGCTGGCGACTTTTTCTGCCAGTGGAGCGGGAGTTGCGTATATGGACTTCACTGACTTTGAAGAATGCCACCATGAAAGGCTGCTTCTCCAGAGCATCGTCCCGTCCTACGAGGCCCGCCTCCTTGGTGCTGATGAACTGCCCTGTTTCAGAAGACAAAGTGCTTAAAACTAATTTTATCTTTACCAAAGTGGTTGTGTTGATTAGCAGAAGTTGCCCAAATTACATTATGTTTTCGTGGTTATTTTGACGATTAGGGGGAGGTCAATCCTAAAAGTTTCTTTAAAATGTGTATTTTGTTGTGATCTGCGGCCCTTACCACTGCTGGTCTCCACGCTGACCTGCAGGCCCAGATTGTGTCCCGGGTTCATCACCCACAGGTTGCTGGTGGCAGTGATGTCAAACTCCAGCCAGCCCTCCTCCGCCGCCCACAGCTTGCGGGACTCCAGCAGGAACAGGTCTGCCTCTCTGGGAGAACACAGGAGATGACACAAAAGATAAACAACTAATACAAGATAACAATAGAAATGTGTTTTGTGACCTGGTGATACTGTCAAGGAAAGTTGTTTTGGGAATCACATGAACAAGTAAGTAGGAAAGAAGTCAACGTTACCAAGAATACTATTTAAGCACCGACTAATAGAGAGTAGAAGAGTTAGATTAACTAGTTTATCCAAAGCTGGAGTTTTGCTAACCAGGTTAAGAATTATTTTAGGTTTTTAAGACTTTAACTTTTGATTCACTCGCAGTTAAAACTATAAAGTTGCAGGCAACAAACAACAAAACAAAAAAATAACCCTAAGAGACATGAAGGGTGGATCCACATGAAAATACTAGTTAATGCTGGCAAATAAACAAGAATGTAGGAAATGTAGGTTGGCGCATCCTATTTTATTGCTTAAATTCATTAATCTACACTCTATAGCATAAACTGTGGTACGGTACAGCGGTGTTACTGTAGCTCACTAGACGACGGATCTATCTCTTTAAGAAACCAGAGGACACACAGGAGCTGATGGTTTGTATCAGGGTAACAGTATCATAACAACATGACAGAAAGATGGATAGCTGCACTTAACAGAAAATGCTGAGATACACTGAATCACACTCCACTTTGAGTCTGACCATACACTCTACCTCTTTGAGGGACAGGAGATAAGGAAGGTATTACATCTTTGGTATCAGGCTACATGTATGTTTGTATCATTTACAATATTTTGTGTAAACAGATCAAGCTACATAATTGAAGAATGTGTCGTGCAGGGGAAAAAACGCGACTCGCGTAACCCAATTGTGGACGAGTGAGTGAGAAGAGAGCACGGGAGTTGCAAAGAACAGACAGAGTGTGAGTGATAAGAGGGCCTGTCCTCCCACTGTCCCATTACAGTAGTAATGACACAGCGTCGGGTCTGTCGGCCGTCCTCCACAGCCGACATCAAAGCAGCGCAATCATCCAGGTGTTCGGAGAATGCCCCTGCAGTCATGCATCAGCAGCCCTTCTTTATTGGGCATTAATGAGAGTGTTTCTGACAGTTTCCGTATGAGCCACTATTTTCCCTCACGCACACACACAAACACACTCTCCCCCACTGCTAAGTTCACACGTTTGTCCCAGCAGGAGTCCGTGTTCCCGTGTTTCCGCCTCATCGCTATATATCGCTATAGGCTGACGAAGAACGGCAGGGGTCCATCAGAGAGCCGCCTGCAGGGCGAAGGCGACCGGGAGCCCACTGTAAAACTTGTTATTGACTGACTGCTTAAATGAACTGGAATAATAAGGTTAGAGGTGAAAGTTAACCTTTTTGCTACAATAAATCTCCTTTATAAGTCATGTCAGTGAATGCTGTTAAAAATGTAACGCAAGATGGAAGAGTGTAGCTCACAGCTGGCCGGGTTATTCTTTGTGCTTTCATCTTTTAACACCTGAAAAATGTGTACGATTGTAAAAAGAATATGCACATCAGACATCTGGAGGGAAAGGATGCACAGGTTTTCAGAAAAATTAGGATATTCAATTTTTGTTAATTTTTGAGAATCAGAATGAAGGCATACTTATAGAAGGGAAAAAAAGGAATTAAATCATCTGGTTACAGACGGTATAATAGCTGCTAAAATGCTGCTAAATGGGGATGGGTCAGTGAAAACAGCCTTTGCAAAAACCTGCCTTTTCTCAATACGATGACAGGCCTGACACATTTCTGGCATTGTAATCTCTCACATTCCTAGCCTGCATTTACCAAAACCGCCCCAATCAAGTGAAAAGTACAAAGGGTGTCAGGCTAATTAAGCGCTCTATCATTATGGCTTAGAGTCAAAACAGGAGTCGGGTTTTTACTGGAAGGAGGGGCACCAGAGAGTTAATAGGCTCCCAGCTGGGCCATTGCAGAAGGTACAGTTTTGCAAAAAGGCAGAAAATGGGGACAAACTACAACAATTGACTCAACAGAAGAGAAACCGTCAAACCGTGGACGTTACATTCCAGTATCGAGGACAAGAAGATGCGAACATAAGAATGGAAAATGAGAACACTTCTAACTTTAATGTCGTATAAAAACTACTGATTTTGTCAGTGGATGCATCTTGAATTCAAAGCACAAACAAAGCAGCCGCAAATGTTCTCCACCTGATAGCACACCATCCAGGCTATAATTTACTTCAAGGTAAAAAAAAACAGTCCTGCAATAATACAGAAATCGGAGATATATGCGCCCTTTAATCTCCAAATATCTCCCAAAATAAAAGGCTTTACCTCCAGGCTGGAGAGCACAAACCACCCATTGTAGGGATGAAGGAATGCAGCTGAAAAGTAGCTCTTGATACCCATAGAAACTTTTTGACAGACAGATAAATATACATTGCCAACATCTAAAGCTACTTTTTGTAGCTACGGACCTTACAGAGGATCAGCTTTAGCCGAGGACTATAGTCTGAGAACATTTGGTTTGAGAGACCCCACCTTAAGGTGTTTTGTTTCTTGATGATATTCAGCTCAAAATAATATATTAATCAAGTTAAATAGCTCTTCATACTCAAAGATTTAATGGAGAAAGATACTTTGATGTGTATTCATTGAGAAACACAATATACAGATGTTAGTCTAAAGTTGTATATCAGGAATTCTCTTCATGTTGGAGCTGGTTCTCGCTGGGCGGGCTTGGTAAAACACAAATATCATTCAGAAATCTTTCTGGATGTTTATCTGCCCCTGCAGATGTAATGTAAATGTTTGGCATGTATTAGCTGCGCACATTTGGGGGACGGGAGGATTTTGAAGCTGTGCTATTTCGGTTCCACGTGGTTTTGCTTGATTTTACAACATAAACATAGCGAGGGCCGAGTCTGTGTAACGCAGGGAGAATGTTAGAGAGATAGAGAGAAACACAGGGAGACGCAACTTTATTATTTTCATATTCTTCAGCTTTTTTCTCAAATAATGAACTGGAACATGAATCTTCAGAAATATACTTAAGATTTCACTCAATATGCTAAAGCTTTGTAAGATACCAAATACAGCTGCGTCCATTTAGAAGTATGAGTATGTTACAGATCATTTGATCATAACTTATTTTATAAACAAAGACTTTTATTTGCACAGTCAATGGTGAATCTGAACCGCTAGTTTCAAAGACGACAAGAAAAATAGTTTGATGAGGACAATCGAATCAAAAACTAATTTACAGAGTGATTGTGTGTGTGTGTGTGTGTGTGTGTGTGTGTGTGTGTGTGTGTGTGTGTGTGTGTGTGTGTGTGTGTGTGTGTGTGTGTTACCTGTCAGGGTGCTCCTTGACCACCTGGTAGACTTTGAGTAGCAAGGTGTCGTTGCGGAAGGCGCGGCTCACGCACTCCTTGTAGAGGCGAAACTCCGCTGCGGTGATGGCCTCGCCCTCTGGGATCTGAGAGAGGTTGAACTTAAACTCTTTGTGGTGACGCCGCTGCGGAGAGAGCTCCCTGTCGTACTCCACTGTGGGATAGAAACACACACATGGGATCATTACATTGTGCACAAAGAGAAATGGACAGGAAAGATTATACATAGAGAAAATCACGACTTCTTTTGCCTAAAACCTTCTTCCTGTTCTTCAGAAGAAATCCTGCTTTGATTTTGTTTATACTATCAGATCAATAAAGTATTATCTACATTCTTTTCCTATGGACATCATGGCCTTCTTTGACCTTTAATGCCTTTCTAGCGGCTTGTCTTGGCGTTTATCTTGTATTTTCTATAAATGGGATCAAATTTCATATTTACAAACAGGATTTAAGTGTAAACATACAGTGGGTGATAAGCGGATATCCTCACAGACACTGAGTCGACCATAAAAGCCTTTAAAACGCTCACATGTGATTTATCCTTAAGGTCTAATAGGTTTGTGTGGCTTCCAGTTTCCCTAAATAAAGCCCTGTTATCATCAGTCCGGAGCAAAAGCCCATGGCGGCAGCAAACTTAAGAGTCATTCTGCGACCACTTCTGACGGCGTGAAATGACAAAAACCAACAAATGTTCTCCCTCCTATACTTTTAAGTGCAATATGCGCCATAATGATAATGTGCTCTCTGGGGATTCAGTTCCTGTCTCAGCTGGAGGTTTCTCTCCCACACACAGAGTGAGAAGAGGGAAGTGAATAAAGAGCATTATGGGAAGAGCAATTAGAAAGTCTACAGAAATACCCAGGCAGAAACACACCGTAAAGGCTAACCCTACAAACATTGAAATAGTATCTACTTAAACATACATCAGCACATTCATACTATTCTTAGTCCATGATTGGATCTTACCAATTTTAAGTTTGCCCTATGCTACACACTTTATCCTCCACCACCAGAGTGGTTTTACAGGCGGTGGTTTCACCATCACTGTAAGAGTAGACTCACTGGGAACCAAAGCTAGATGTTAAAGCTACTTCAGTTGTATCCCCTGCAGTGGGACCAAACTAAGATGATAGATGGATCGATAGATATGTACTTTATTAATCTCAAATTGGGAAATGATTTTGTTGCAGCAGCAACGTGTACAGGCATTGCATTTTCCCACATATTTACTTCTACTAGCCTGCACGATTTTGGTTGAATAAATAGTTTGACATTTTAGGAAACAATTTTTAGCTTTTGCCAAGAGTTCAAATTATAAGTATGCTAAATATGTAGCTAGACGATGGTAAAGTGAAACATCAAGTTGCACCACATACCAGGGGTTTTGTGACATATTCAGACAGCAAGACATATAAGTGTAGTTAGTCGAAGCTAAAACAATATTTTCAACATAACTATACGAGTAAGAGCTAATATTAAGATTCTTCCCGACTACAGATAACAGCACTACTGTACAGCAGTTTCATATACAGTATATTTAAGACAACGTAACTGTAAAGGAGGAAGTGGTTGAATCCAATACTTTTTTACTTTATTTCATTTATTTTGAAGATTCATTTGAATACTTTGAGAGTCCAAAGGTTTGGTAAGAAGTTTTGTACCTGAGCCAGGCTTGTTAAAACATTCTGGTAATTTTATGATGTCGGGACCCACCCAAAATGGACCAATGACACATTTAGTTCCCAGAGTCATATGCGAAGAGAAAATTGTGTTGATGTGAGAACACTGGAACCAATCAGACTCTCCCAAAAGTGCCAGCCCCACACCCAGGAAGGTTAAAGCTCCCCTCATCCCCCGACATTTCCAAGTTACATAAATGCTGAAGTTAAGTAAGAAACAGCACAGAAAAGACTTGGAGTGAAGGCGTGTCGTTCTAGCCCCAATCCAGTCTAATCCTGAAGCATATTGCTGTGGCTTGGTCAAAACAAATTACAATAATTGAAGCCTCTCAGTTTACGTCTGAGCCAGTGCTGTCTCTCTGCATTTCAAATGCTTTCCATCTTACTGTATATAAAGAATGAGATGTTATTCACATCAGTATCCCTGTGACTTCTATCAGATTTGACAGTGACCATCTCCTCATCGTACTCCACAAGCTGCCCACCCACAACATACACACACACAGATGTCGCAGTAAGTGTGTGTGATAAGGCGTCTGCTCTTGTGTTGAAGGGTAGATACATCAGCTAAGCTTGTGTGTCTGTGTGTGGAGGCTTTAAGCAGAGGTCATGGTACTCTAAATGACTTTACAACACTCCCTTCAACAGCCCCGGGCGTAAAGACCAGCAGCTTGACATTTAATATTCCCCGTTTAAGAATCTACTGACTCTTTGGCACGAAAGCTCTTTGATAAACGGACTGTAGGTGGTGAGAAGGTCAGAAAGAGTTTCACAAGTATCAAATGTTTATTACATCTGCTGCAATGCACTGTATGGTAAATGTACAATATATCAGGCACTTGACATTACTGGCAATCATAAATCTTTATCAGATTGGTTATTTATTAGGAGGAATCTACTATTGGTTGCTGTATGGGGAGTATAGAATACAATGGTTTTGGATCTTGGCCAATACTAGGGACTAAAGTCAGTATATCTCGGCCTCTGTTGCTTCAATTTTGAACTTTTTATTATCACTCATTACCCCCATTTTATGGAAACCAAAAAAGGAATTGCTAGAGCTCCCCTTCATATTGGAATTATTCAAAAGTCACATCCAGGCCCGAGTGCATTGCCACCTCTGTTGTTCTTGTCAACAAGTTAGAGAGAAATTCCCAATTCCCAACCAGTATGCTAGCCAAGCTGTTAATAACAACTATTTTAAGTTGTTGTTAATGCAGCATTAATACACTCCTTTGACTTCTTAACACAACACAAACATAGATATCCAGTTTAGCTTTGTTCTTCCAGTAAGCAGTGAAGCAGCAAGGGAAACTAAAAGGGCGTCAACAGCCTTGTCCGAGAATTCAATCAGCAACTTTTTAAACTTTGTATTTCCTGCAAATATGCAACAAAATACACTACAATCATACACGACAAGTGAAAGACATTGTGCCAAAGCAGAAAAATGTTTTCTTTGAGGTGGAAAAATGTATCCACTAATTTCATTCAGCTTTAATGAAATTCACAGGACGCATTTATTCTTGAATTTATTCCCCTCACATCCTAACAAAATCTCAAGGCACTCTTAAAGCTCCACGAACAACTCACTGGCCTGTTCAATTAATCTTTTCTTTCTTAACTCAGAGTGGGGAGTAGTTTTAAGCAGCTTCCAGATGAAGACAAACAATTAAAACTATGAAATATGAAGACAGCCACAGTCTCACATTATCATACACTTTATCACCGCAGTCCTCTGCAAGATTGCCTGAGAGCCACAGTGGCTAAGTAGCATTCCAGCTGCTTCTCCACCTTCTCGGCTTGAAATTCGATTGAAATCCACTGAGATTTCACATCTAAAATCAAAGCGAGGTCTTCACACGACGTCTACAGAGAGCGTAACCTTTGTGCTAATCTACTGTACCATGACGTGAGCTTTGAGACAGGAACACACAGAAGGGAAAAGGGATTTAGATTCGGATGATTCAGGGAGGAATTCATTCAGAGTGATTCTAAAGATGGGGAAAGAGTGATTATATTAGTGATTTGGTGCAAACAGTGCTCTATGGAAAGTGTGGTGTGTGAATACTCGTCTGTATATGTTGTGTGTAATTTATGGCTTTATTTTATTACCGCACTCCCAGCTTTGGTCACCAGTTCATGAGAAAATATACACAAACAGAATACACATAATTACTAAGTCAATGTTTCTCTTTAATTTTCATTTACTTGAACACAGAGAGGCAGCCAACTGTAACCAGAAAACATGGGACATGTCTCTGATGATTCACCTAAACCATGTGTGATTAAATCTGCTATAAAACAAAAGACACAAAAGGAAGAAATGGGGCGTGAGGAAAGGAGAATAAATGATGACTGTTGTAATGGTAATATAGGTAGAGAAAAACAAACGCATCAATGAAACAAAGTTTGGGAAAACAAAAGATGTAATGAATATTTATGTGTCAAAATGGATAGTCTGCAGGGAAACAGCAATACAGCTAAATGTGTGTCAATAGAAAACGTTTGTCTATTATAATAACACAGGAGAAGAAGATGACTGTGGGAGAAGTGGACGAGATGACAAGACCAGACAAGGAAGGAAAGACAAAGTAGGTTGTCTTACGAAGAGGGAGATAGAGGTGGGAGAAAGGGGAACAGACAGAACGGATGAAAGAAGACAGTTGGTGACAGAAAGAGAGTGAGACGGACCATTGGCAGATTCTCTTGGACGCTTTGATTCCTGTTTCCACCTGCGCAACATCTGTCGCTGCTGTCCTGCTGCTGGAAGTACTAAGGCAACACACACACAAACACACACATTTACCATGACCCTGAGAATCTGTTAGTATCATATGGACTGAATTCATAGGGTTATTATATTCACAGCCTGCACATGCTCATGGGTTCTAAAAATGCTTTTCAAATTCAAAATAATTAAGAATGTATATTAGTGTTGGACAAACTATGATAACTGAATTATGGAAAAAAGAAAACGGGAAAAAAAGGTGCTGACAGAATGCTGGAGGCCGACAACAGAGTGGACAAATATGAGATAGAAGAACAGACAGATATGAATCCGACAGTGATTTATCAACACAACCTCTGGAGTAAAACTAAAGGAAAGCAACTGCCGGTAATATGTTTAAATACTTTGATAAAGAAGGAAAATAGGAAGACAGACCCATTTAAAAACAGGAAAATAAACTGGATAGGAGAGGAGCAGTGTTCTTAACGTGAAGCAGCACTGTGCAGCAGAGGCCCTGTTGATGGGCTGACTGGTCCGTGGTCAGTGGTCAGCGAGTTTGCTCACACTCCTAACGCTGTCCAGTCAATCCCTCAGAGGCACAGCCGGGGAGCAGTCGCCTGCATCAAATCCCTCCAGCTTTCTCTCACACGTCCCACAACCACAGAGAAAACAACCAACAACCACCTTCTCGCACCAAAATACTTTTTCGCCCTCCATCAACACTCAGTTGGTAAAATTAACTAAAAGGAAAGTTACGGATGGGTTTCTCAAAGTTAATTATGTTGTCAGATATGTATCTATTTTTGAGAGGCGATTAGTGAAAGCTTTTAGCCTCAAAGCTACATCAGCAATTAACTTTTCCACTATGGTGGTGAGACTGAGGAACGACAAGAACCGGCCCGTGACAGTGCTTGTAGACAATCTTAAGGAAAAAGCTTCTGAAGACATCTTAATTCTTACGTGTAACTGTTGTACACTTTCCTGTATTATCAAGTGCTGCAATGTAGATAACAGAGAACAGAGTACCTGTCTAGATTATGTATGGAGCTCTTATTAGATCTGTCAGTAAGATTGTACTAGGTTCCAGTTTGATGACAGATTAGCTACATTCTGCCAATTAAACAAGAGTTTTTTATCCATCTACATTTGCAGATATGTATAACACAGAGACCCATGCTGAACCAGTTCTGTGGTATTTTTTGCAACACCATTTTTTAAACAGGAATATGTAACTTTTGTTCAAGGGCTGCCACTGTAGCCACAAGTGACAGGATAGTGGTGCCTTTAACTGCCCTTAATTTCTGAGTCAGTTGCTTTAAAGATACAAGTAAGTCTTACTAGAGGTTATGTAGCAAGCTAATGCATTGCCTTGGAAGGTTTCCAAAGACACAGAATTGACCCATCCACTGAGCTTTGGGGAAAAACTCTGGAGCATTCACAAGTTAAATGCCGTCCACAAAGGACAGCTTGGAGGGATTTTTCAAGGGGTTGAAAAAGCGTCTTGCACTGTACTTCTGACTATTTTTCTGAGGAAAATGACAGATATTAGATGATTCTGCAAACTACTTTCAATGCCAACCTTTTACAAAGTCTCTCTTCAACACAGTCATGACAATTACAGTATGGCTAAGGTTGCCTCCTTATAACAGCAAATATTCCAGTATTTTCCCAATAACCATGTTTTGTGGGAGTTTTATGACCATGCCAAATATGAATTCCGAAGTCCCTCGTTAAAATCTCTGGAATCTAATTAAATATGTGATTTACCATTTCATCTGACCCATAATGCATCTCACTGAAAGAAGAGGTTATGAGAGATTGAGGGAAATAATAAACATTTCCACAAACACCCTTTAATTAAAAGTATGTAAACCAAGAACCTGTCAACATTGTTAAAGAATTTGCAGATTGATAACCATTACACATGTTCTGGATATCCAAGGTATGACAAGAATCCATCAGTGTTTATGTAATAGTGTAATAACAGCCCATTACCTGCCTGGTTTATCTCAGGCTTGATGGTTTCTGATGATAGGTTGGATACTTTCTTGTGTTTCATTAATCTTTAATTCCTCTCATGTAATAAAAAGTTTGGACAGTTAGATGTCATAGGGAATTCTTGCAGTTGATACAATCACAACTCTTGAGCCACTTTTTCCCTCAAAAAGAAAAACATCTAATTTAGTTGAAATCGTTATGCTGTAAACACCAGTCTTTTTGAAGAGGCTCAAGCCAGAATCTATGCTTCAAACGTTTGGCATTGATGCCGTGTTGAAAGATAAAACAACTGAGACAGATATTGAGTTTTTCCCCCCTGCAGTGGTGTGAGCTGCCTGTGTTGCCACTATGCTTGGCTGCCATCAGGAGCTGTTTCCACCTTCTGCTGAGTGTTTTGGATCTTTGTAGTAAGGCAGCTGGTAGGGCAGATCCTGGGGTTAGGGTACAACCCGCAGGGCTGGGAGTCCGCTGGGAGTCATCATTAACTTTGAGCAAGGGTGTGTGGTGTATGTGGGCCTTTGGAGACTCATCCTGTGCTCTGATCTTCTCCCCTGACCCAGCATCAAAGCCGACACACTGAGCTCCACAGGACCAACCAAGGGCCACTGGCAGGCGCGAGAGTTTATGTCCGATGCATGTAGTCACACAAATACACATCAGCATGACATATGCACAGGTACAGATGTAACTGTCCAAGCCAAGAATGTGAGCAAAGGAGGACAGAGGGGTGTACTGACACATTCCCACACACACCTTGTGATGCACACACAGTCCCAGATGTCAGTGGTGTGAGAATTCAAGGCCAGACCGGAGCATCATTCCATAGCAAGGATATGAGGCAGTGAGACCAGCCCTTTTGCAGACTGTCAAGCCCCATTAGCAAACACAGAACAGCAGTGGACAGCTTTACTCTGTGTCCAGCAAAATCAGTACAGGGATTTAAGCACATTACTAATTTATGTTATGACTTCCTGACAGACAGCCAAGATATGAGCTTCATTGTCAGCAAGCCAGGTACTTGTAAAGTTAGTACTATATAACGTTTTGTAACAATTGTATATGAATGATTGCCATTTTTGCCACGGAGACAATTATTCAACCACAGTCGGTTCATGAACGCCTTCGCATTTTCTCAAAATGGTATGTACAGTATGGGATTTATCTTCCTGGGACAATTCCTCCGGTGCAATAAGCGTTTAATCTGTCAAGCAGGTTGAATTAAATAGACAAAAATAACATAATATTTATATATAGATAACATTATATATATATTACAAAATATATAACCATCAGATCTCTAGGGAAATGCATTGCAGATACATTACAGCACTTTTAAATATTGGCTTATTGTCCCTTAATTCCTTACGTCACAACAAGACAATGATTGTCTGTAGCACAGATAACAAAATGTGGCATTAGTTAGAGTAAGTTTTTCTTCCACCTAAGCTTGTTGAATGTGACCTGTTCAAATAACACATAACTTCCTGAGAGCTTGACCATTTCCACAGACACACACACATTCATCAATGGCCTGGATACCCAGCCTGCTCTTCTTCCATTACCTCCCACAGGTTACAGTACACAATGAACTCACTGAACAGGCATCCCCAAGAAACAAAGGCCCCATTTGAACCATATAATCACATTTTTCTACAGTCATCGTCCACCATATAATCCTTGAAAAACCATTTGGGTTTTTCGGAAGACCCATCCAAAACCATCACACATAATGTCAGGAGTGCTGTCCCAGGACACACACACATACACAAACTCAAACACATCCACACAGCGGGGAAATCAGATTTTTGTTCCCATCTACCAAAGCTCTATCACCACCGTGCTGCATTCCATACAAGATGATAAAATGAAGTCTGGACACACATCTATCTTTTGTCATTTTGAGATTTTTAGCTAGTGTGCAATGTGTGTGGGTTTTTGTGTGCGTGTGTGTCTAACCCCGTGGGTAGGCAGATAATTTGCTGTAATTGCTCCTCTGTTGGGGCTTTGCTAACAGATAGATATCCAAGGTATGGCTGTTGGACTGAATAGTCTCAGTTTGTTGCCTTCGGTAGACTGACAGCTGAGTGGTAGCAGTCATCAGCTCTCTGCTGAGTCTCCAGTTGGCCTCCAGGTAGCTGGACGTGCCATACCTGTGTGTCAATAGGAGATTTTATTCCATCTCTTCAAGCACTATTACTAAGGATTAAGATGTGGACCCACTAACTCGGCTGCAGGGGGCATTTAAACAAGGAGGGCATGTTAATGTTTTTCCTGATTTAGTTGTGCTCCTTATCCACTACAATAAAGTATCACGTACGTGCAGGTCATGTAGAGCAAAAATAGGAGAATAAATGTTGCAATACATAAAAAAGGAAATGTGAAAAAAATAAATTACAATTGTCATTAAGGCTCAGAACAAACACAGTAGGGACACCACAAAGAAGAAACAATGTAATGTGACGCACTGTTTTATGACAGACAAACAAAAAAGTTGTATTTACAAAGCCTGCATTTTCATATATAACTAAAGGAAATGCAACAAAGTACCACATGCCAAAATTGCACAAGTGTGTCAAAAGTTCAGGTGATGGTTCTTGCTTGCAAACTGCAGGTCCATTGGAAAGTCTTGCTTATGATTGGCTCGCATATATGGCTTTGTTTTTTAATAAATAAAACCTGTCAAAATATAATGTTGCAGGTGCAGCTTGAGTTTTGCTCAATTGCTGAGACCCCAGTTTGGAGACAAGGATCAGGGACCTCACAGGATTAACAAGTCAAATGTGTGTGTGTAAGGGAGTAGCCTTGTGAGTGCAGGAACATATTCAACCTTTACACCCATGTCTATAATCAATCTTCATACACCATTTGTGTCTCTTTGAACACTTACAAGTCTAAATGGCCACAGAGAAACCCTCATTGACATTAATGGCCAGTTGTGATTTCCCCAAAAGTCCCTGTAAAAACAAGTGTTGGTTTCATTGGACACCAATTCGTGCCAACAAGCTGTCAACAAAAGACGGTGCAACATCTTTTTCACATTTATAAG